CAATAAAGTTAAAAACCAAAATCATTACAAGACAGCAAATTGGACGAGAAACAAAACCCAAAGCCCCAAACAAAGACAAAAGATTCCAAATTTCCCCATACCATTTCAGAATTCTTGCCACTTTGATTTTTGTTGAGGTGAGCAAGGAGAACGGTAGAAATGATACAGGGGATGGAGCAAAAGATGAAGTTTTTGAAAAGGGTGGTTTTAATAAAGTTTGATTCAGGCCTTGGCCTTGGGTTGTGGACAGAGTTTGATGGAGGGTGAACTATGCCTTGATTCATAAGGATGAGATTTTATTTATAGAGAAGTTGATGGAGAAAATGATTGATTGAATTTAGAGGTGGCTTTTTTGCTCTGCTTACTAAAAACAATGGGGTCCCATTGTTTAATTTTTTATAGTATTCTCTTAATAAACAGCTGGCCAGGCTGATGTCCCTCAGCATCATTTTGTGGGCTGTTTTAACTGTCTTTTTGTATCTTTACTGTAACAGAAACATTCCATTTTAATTCAGGTTGGTTAATTTACTGATTAAACTAGCTCCCTAATCTATTCTCACTTAAGTCGGACTCATCTGTCAATTTCTCACTGTGTGCAAAGCTGGAAGATCAGGACCATTCAGGGAGGAAAGTTTTTGCTTTCTCTCTTACCTTTTGGAGAGCAGCCGCATTTATTTAGCATATAGATTTCAGCAAATGAATGATAAAGAACTGAACATGCAGGCTATGTTTTCAGGCTTTTAGCACATGGTTTTCATGGATTCATTCTAAATTTTCTTGTACTTCGATTAGTACTATCCTTTATAAAAGAAATTAAAGATCTTGGATCAAACCATTTTTCTTTTTTTAGTGAAAGGATATGGCTGAGACAAAATGTGATTTGAGCTTCATTATATCATTTAATTAATTTTAATGAAAGATTCCGTATGGTAATTGGAAGTTTGATTACCTACCTTAAGAGAATGTGTCATGAAATTAAACTAGTGAGCTTGTGTCAGGTAATATTAGCTGCATTTTATATAATAGAATATTAAGGATTTGAAAGTAATATCTCTTTTTAGCAATAGAGTCAACTAGGTTTAAAGAATATTTTTGTCGAAATGACTTCCAACTCTCGTTGTGGGAATAAAATATAACGTCGGTGCCATAGCCAAAATAAAGGGTCACAAGATGGTTTTTGTACTTCAAAAATATATCCTAGTGTTTGTTTCTTTCTCGTGAAACCACTTGGCAAGAACAAAACATAAAAATAATAATAATAATAATATCGTTGAAAACCCTTTCAATAGTACATATAACTTTTGTCATTAAAATAAGATATAAATTTTTAAAAAATTAAATTATTTTAAAATTTATAAATAAATATTTATTTATAATATTATTTATTATTTTATATTTACATGATGGTGACATAAAAAATAAAAAATAATACACGATCACAAATATAGAGAAAATAAAGGATAGAAAGATATTTATATAAATAAAAATGAAAGAGAATGTTTTTTTTAATATTACCCCAAAGAGGCAGTTAATTAAGGTCGGGCTACCAGCCTACTAGATATTGGACTGAAGTAATCTTTTGTTGAAGTCTTGACCCAACTTCCCTACTCCCGAAATTATGGTACCTTCTGATATAATACTATTAGTACTGAGAAGAAATTGATTAATTAATAAATTAGAAGAAGAGAAAACTAAAAACAGAAAAATTAGCAAAGTGAAAAAGGAGACACGCAAATGCAACCGCGTGTCCTGTCGGTGCCTGCCTATCTGTCTTTAATGTATCATCTGACGTACCGACTAGTACAAGGTTGTTACAAAAATTTGTGGGCATAATCCAGGTGGGACATTTCTCTTCAGATGACTTCCAGGCTCCAGCAAGGCTAGCATTTTGATTTCCTTTCTTCTTCTTTTTTTTTTTCCTCTTTCCTTTCTTAATAAAAATCTCGTCAGAAAGATTTCTATGGAGTTAGGCAACTTAACATGTGATGCGTAACATGAAAAAGTGAGGATGATAGAGACAAATTCAGAAATTGTATTCCTAATTAATAAATGAGATGATTTTGAAAGTAAATTTAACATGAGAATTGAAAATTGCAGAGGGGAAGTAGGCGAGGCAAGGAAAGATGTGTAGGAGGTGCGTTGCCACGTGTGTTACAAGAAAACTTTTAAAAAGAAGTAGGTGGAATACTTAAAGTCTCACATTGACTGAGTAAAAAGATTTTAAAAATTTTATAAATGTAATCGTTGTATATTTTAATAAATTAATTATTTATAAAAAAAAATAATATTGTAATAAAACAATATTAGAATAAATTCAATCCACATCGAACACCTTTTAAGAAGAGACAAGTAAGATGATCAATAATAACACCACATCGAGTAAATAAGAAAATTTTCAAAAACTTATAAATATAGACACTGCATATGTAATTTTGAATACAATATGTTAACAAGATATAAAAAGATACAAGATTCAATAAGTTTGAGTTTAATCTTAATATTTTTCGTATTTAATCATATCTGATACATTTAAAACACGTAAATTTTCATGTCTTAACATGTCTGATGCGGATAACACATTTAATTAATTGTGTTATCGTGTTTAAACACGTTATCATGTCCAAACGTGTGTATATGTGATAAGTTTATCAATCTATTAAAAATTAATAGATAAAAACTATTTTAACTTTACTTAAATAATTTTGATTTGTGTGTTTGGAATCGTTCATGGTTGATAATATAATTAATGATATGTATTTAATTATGAATGAAAATTATGGATAAAAATTATGAATGATTTTAGATATTATTAGTATTTTAAAATTAGATGTTAATGATGAATTTTATCATATTATATGATAATAAATTTTATATATGTTATTTTCGTTAAATTTTATTACATTTGATATTATTATTATTTTATTTTATTATAATTATTTTTCTAATTATTGATTTCAAATTTAAATAATAAAAGTATATTTAATTATAACTATTTTTATTTAATCATGTTAAACGTGTTAATCATGTTATTAATTGTGTAGTGTCATATTGACACGTTTAATAAACATGTTATCGTATCGTGTCACGTTACATAATTATTAAATATATGTGTATACTTATTTCAGATTTAAAACAAAAATATTATTCATATTTAATCTTAACGTATTTCATATCTAATCATAATTGATATATTTAAAATAAAAAGACACGAATTATCATATTTATGCCTTATCAAATTAATACTTTTAAAAAATTAATAATTACATGAGGAATACATTTGTCCTCTTGACAAACAATAAAACACCCATTGTCAAAGTTTGCTTTTCTTCTCTTCTCTCCTCATTGATTAGATATTAATTACACCCATATCTCGAACGTTTTCCATATGTAGTACTCCATGATATTTTTTTTTTATTTGAGGTAAAAGATTTGAGTTTTTTTTATAAATATAATATATCAATTAATAAATTAAATATCCAAATATTACTATTTCATGACATTTAATGCATCTTAGACTTTAAAAAGCAAGATGAATTAACATATATAAAAGGTAGGAGCAGCTATAATTGTATACTCAGAGATTGAATGGGAGCTACTCTGAGACCGACAGACAGTGAAAAAGCCACCAGTCCACAACATTTGCTGGAGGTAATGAATGTATGAGAATACTAGCAATATAGTAAAAGAAGTAGTTTCTCTCTAATAATAGTACTAATAACAACAAAATTGTTTTTATTTATCATAATATTGATATATATTACGGACATAATATTTAAACAAAAATTTAAATTATTCAAAAAAATTTAAATAAATTTTTATTCTTATATTACATTCAATCGAAATTTTATATATTTTTATTTTTAGTTAAATAAATCTTTAAATTTTTTTTTGAATTAAATAAATTTTTATAATTAAGAGTTAACTTAATGAAAATATTACTTATTATTTTATATTACATAATGTTAATGTAACATGTTAACAGCTTTAATGAATGATGATGTGATATGATGATTAATAATGTAATGTTTTTTACTTTTTACATTAACGTTACGTTAATATCACATGAGTATGAAATGATAAATAGTATTTTAATTAATGATAATTAGTTAATTATTAATTAAAAATATATATTTGATTCAAAATTAAAATGTACAGATTTGATTAAATATAATTAAATAATAAAAACTTGTTTAAAATTTTTGTAATAATTTAAAAATTTTACAAACATTATATCTATATTAAACTAAATTTGACTTTATAATTAGTTTTATGAAATTAATGTAACTTCTAATTTTATCATTTATATGACACAAAAAGTATATTGTGAATTTGGCTTAAAGTATTGTTTAGCTAATGCACAAAATGAACCAAATTTTTGCACCCTTTAAATGAATTGTTGAATAAATATTTCCTATCACATGGAGTTGTGAATTTAACAATTTAAAATGTGACATCTTATTTGAAATAAATGCTGTATTAAGATTCGTTGCACATGGACCTTAAAATTCTTAGTCACAAGAGCCAAGAGTGCCTGAATTTTGTGAGGTGACGACTTGGCAATTCATGGCGAAAGTCATTGGGCTGTTGTGACTTGTGAGAAAGTTTCAACTGCCCCATTTGTTACGTTTCATCACGAATCCAATTTGGGAAGCCAGAGTGTTAATCCGTCACCAAATCTGAAGCAATCACCCACCCAACAGCATTTCTTCATAACCAAGTTCCTTCCCTCCTCCGCTGAACACACCTCACCAACTTCCCAAAAGAGTGCTGTGTCCAACTCCCAAAGTCCCAACCCAGTGTTAATATATATAAAATCTTTCCAAGACTGATATTATTCCAAAACTACATCAATTACTGCTTCTTGTTTGGTATCCTGGAAAAGGGGAAGCACAAAATCTAACCTTTTGATTCATATCAAGAATAAAGATCATGCATTTCCTAAGGTTCAGGCCAAGTTTCCTTCAGGAAAAGCATTCGAAGAAACTTGAAAAACTTGACATATAGAAACAATTTGAGGAAGCTGAACCTTTTATCTTTATTTATAATTAAGAATGTTTAACGAGTAATATTAAAGGTTATACTATATACTTAAACCAGAGAAAGAAATAAAAGAATAGATGGAACTTCATCATCCATTCACCAACCTAAAAGCATATCTCAACAGACAGGAGGTCTATTTTCTTGATCGAAAGACAGCAACTGTATTTTGCTTTTACTTAAAGTTATATAAAATAAAGGCCTGCAAGAGAAAAATTGAGCGCAGAACATCATAATGGAGAGCCGAATTCTGCACCCAAAAGTTGCACCAATTCAACCAGAATGGGACCTGGAAGACATCCGCATGGCATTCTTCAAATGCACCAGATGGCAAGTAGAGGAAACTCTGGATCCAATCAACTGCCCTTTCCATTACTTCTGCGACAGCATTTACCCCGGGAATTATCCGCCGGCTGTGGATGTTCTAGTTCTTCTTCTTACAACTGCTTCATACCTGGCAACACTAGTCATCATGTTAATAGACATATCAAGAAGAGGGAGGCCTTGTCTCAGTCAATCCAAGAGATTTTTGCTGCCTTCGGGTCCGGTGTCACTCCCGCTGATCCTTTTAGCACTAGCCAAGGGTCAAAGGATTAACATCCTATTTCCTCTCTCGTGCATCGCTCCAGCAATCCTTCAACTGATTCAAATTTCTGCTCTTGCCTTCGACATTGGAGCTGACAAGGACCCTAGGTACGCGTTCTTTGAAGCTTCTACAATTTCGGGGATTTTGCATGCCAGTGTATACCTGGATTCCATTATCCTTCCTTACTATACAGGTTTTGATGCTCTAGCATCGTCAACATTTTCTGGTGAGTGCCTCTCTTGCGTGTGTCGCAAAGAGGTTTTGGTTGCAGGAGGGAAGTTGATCACCTACCGGGGATGCTCAGTGACTACATTTTGTGTCATCGGAGCTCTGTGTTTAAGGATTATTTGCAGGCTGTGCGTAGAGAACAAAGGGAAATTCTTATCTATCAAGTCACTATTGGAGAGTTTTGCTTGGATCTTGATCACCAAGGATTGCATTTACCTGGTGGCAAACTCTCCGCCAGAACAATCAGTGCCACAAGCTGCTGCTTTTGGAGGCATACTGGTATTAATTTGCCTTCATGCACTCAAGAAGTTCTGCACACGGATTACGCAGGGCCATTGAGTTTGAAATGATTGCATGGTAGAGGGTACACACGGGGCCGCACAAGTGTGCAAAAGATTTTATCATCATCAACCGTAGAAATAGCCGCCTTTAGATTGTTAAGGTTCGTCGAAGACACTACCGAGATTGTACAGGAAGACCAAATGTACAGTTGAATTCACATCTTTGCCTCATTCTAGGACGTAATAGTTGATTGTTTGGCCCAGCGATCTCTCATGTGTAGGTTCTACTGCAAAATGGTACAACCGTGCCACCCCCTTTTTTTTCTTTCCTTTTTTTGCTTATATTCTTTTTTAAATCTAAAGGGGTAATGAGGAAAATGTGGGAAAAGTTGTGCTGTATCTGCCATTGAATTCCATGCTTATTTTATTTTTATGCAGCTATATTGGCAGAAGACTTAACAGTGAGAACAGGCATCAAAGACAAAACGGTGGAAGCGCTTATCACAATTATAAATTTTCTATGCAAAAACAATTCAATTTCTTCCAGATCCGTTATATAATTGGGCAAAATTGATCATATAAATATAAAAATGCTCTAACCCAAGATGCAAGCACAAGGAGAAAATTTGAGCATCAACTTCATCTCTCATTGCAGTACCAACCCTCTTCAACAGAAAATTGTTGCATTCCAGGAGCGAAGCAAATGAAAGCATGTACCAAGTTACAAGAAAAATCTCCTTCGGCTGGTGTCCATTTCAGGCTGACATTAAAAAATGGGAAAGAATAAATGTGAGTAATGTGACTGATAGAGATGGTTTGGTAGGAGAAAACACAAACCAATCAATGTAGCGTTGAAAATATGATGACAAGTAATTACCTTGTGAACCCACTCATATTCTCCGCCTTTGGTATCAAATGTCCCATGCTGTAGACTTACCAACTTTAGTGTAAACCGAGGACCACACTCCTGCATGTTTTGACAAAACTTTTTAACTACAACATATATTCCTAACTATAGGAACAATCTAGTGCGAATGCCAGATTATCAACAGGCCAAAACCATGTGTGGCAGCAAAGTCATTTCTACAGAAGGAGATAGCTCAAATGCTGGATGATAATCCTCAGAAAAGGAAAAACGGACTTCCAAAAAGCCAAACCCAGTTTCATAGAGCTAGCAAAATTATTTTCAAAATCTCTAAATACAATTGTATTTACAGAAACAGGGAGGGAAACAGACCTGAAGACGAGCAACTACTTTCTCTTTTGCAATGCTATCACCCTTCGCATCCTTTGCCTTTTTACCTTTTGAATCACTCTGTTTGCTCTCCTTGGTTTCAAATATGTACCTGATCGCATGAATAGACAATTTATCAGAAAGAAATTATACAATCATCAATTACTTAACTTGAAGTAGACTCAGAGGATAGGGAGGCAGACCTGTGATGTCGGAAGAATATAAAATCTCGTTGATTGTGAAACGTTACAACTCGTCGTCCCCGAAAATTAGGATCTTGGGGAAAAAGTGCCTGAATTAGCCTTGACAGTACAGATCAACAAAACAGAAAACTCTCAGACAGAAAAGTCAACAGAGGGAGATCATAAGATTGGAAAGCTAAAACACACATTTTACACAGGAATATACTTGTATTTCCAGTATAACCATCAAGAAAATTAAAGGAGAATGTGCAATTTTTAGCAGAATTTAAACATCCAGTAGTAGACTATAAAATACAGAACAGTATGCAACCTCCCAATGCGATGGCCCAGGCGAGTTGTGAAGTTATTTAACACTAGCTCCGGCATGTGACCAGTAGGATTTCCGTGATTCTACAAGTACAAAAATAGAGGCAATTAATATGATTATGGTAACAACTCCTTTTCCAGAAATCCAACAATTAGACATGAAATTCATGTCCAATTTTAATAGTAGAAAAGAAAACCAATATAGCATAAGGATAGCTCAGATCAAGCAGAAAGAATCAGTCTTTTACCTTAATGTCCTTCCGCAAAACCAGACTCGAAAGCTTGAAATGGGCTGTAGGCCCATCAGGCAAGCCAATGATTAGAAGAGCATCTACATGACAGCCACACCAACTAGTCAGCTTTAATTCTCATAAAGATAACAAAGCTAGAGCACAATCCAAATAAGAGAATTGTATAGAAGCTCTTATCACATACCCGGTTCTCTTCGATTGGTGTGAACTACTATAATCGACGTGAATTCTTTGTTATTTGCATATTCCACAATCTGCAGTAATATGAATACATTACTTCAAAAAGATACTTACAAAATGCTACTAAGCACTAACCCCACATTTTCTTAGTATCTTGATGAAAGAATAATTCGAGAAAATTATCATGAGAAGCACCTTTTTCAAGTCATATGTTCCTCTCTTATAGTAATGAGCATTAGGGATCACCGAAAGCAATTCGGCGATAAAAGCAGGTCCCCTCTGAAGACATAGTAATCCATAAATAAAAGACAGCAGGATATTTAGTAAGGCAGATAAAAATTGTTCTAAATGTCGGCAAAAAGGAATGAAAATGGTATATGCTATGCATAGTTTCATCAAATGAGAAGGGAGATAACAGAAGCATACAGTCGAATTGAAACGGCAAGTGGTGATTAATATCTTTGGAATGCGATCACGCTTTAGAATCGAACTGAATTCATCCGCATCATTACCAACAAACAGCTGAAATAATAACAAAGAAAAAGATTATAATTTTCAACTCAAATTTCAAATTTTTTGAAGAACAAAAAAACCCCGAATTTCCAAGAAATGAACCGATAAATTTACCTCTTCATCATCAGGCATGCAAACAGTCTCGTCAGCTTCTCTCGTATTTTCAATAGTCCGAGGGATTTGCTTCGGTGCAGGCTGCAAAAAAAAAAAAATTCAGCAATCGTTTGCTCCATTTAAAATATAAAAATAAAATAAAAGAAAGGAAAATAGAGGACGACCTCTTCTCCGAGTTCAAGAGCGCGTTTTTCGGAGGCGTCACGAGCTTTAAGCTTCTTGCGTTTCTCGAGCTTCTTTTGGTGCTTGAGTTTGGCGTGTACAGCCGACCTCTTCTCCTTGTTTTTTATGGAGGAAGGAAGCATCTCACTCTTCTGCTTCATCTTTTTATTATTGTTTTTGCTATCGTTATCTCCTTCCATCCCTTCGCTTTCTCCCTTCTTTCTTTTTCCGCCCATTTTTGGCTTCGTTGGCTCTCCGCTGGGTCGATGAACACTGATTCACAGAAGAAAGGGAAGAAAGGAGAGTAGTTTAGGGTTTTTGGTTTTGAATGCTGATAGCGGTTCACGCCCAGTAATGGATGTTGGGCCCAGCTAGGCCTGGAATTTTGGGCTCAAAGGAGACTGCGCCTCTTTTCAGCCCAGCACCTATCTGTGGCTAAACTTTTTTGTTTTTGTTTTTTTGGTTCTTTTACTATTCGGATGTTAACAAGTATATTATATCTAATTTTCGGTGTATATAGTCCCAATTACATAAGATTTGGATATTTAGATTTATGTAAATTTTACTATCCATCTTAAATTCAAGCATTTAAGGGATAATGTTTAGGATGTTAAGATATGTGTTCTGATAATTTTTTTTAATTTAAATCAAATATTCATCATATTGGGATACTTTATCAATTAATAGGTGTAAGGTAAAGTATCTTAAAAATAATAAATTTCTTCTCTTGGTAATATCCAAATTTCTCCTAGTAAAGTTAACTAGAAAACAATAGTACGAAAATAACAAATATATTTTTCTTCAACTTTTATAGCACTGTTATTTTAAATCTTTTTTTTTCATATTATAATTCATGTTAGTATGAAAATTGGCATGGGAAATAAATGGTGAAGATTCAATCTGTAGTATGTAGAAAGGGATGGTTATAAAGTGGTTGGAGGTGTTTTTAGGCATGAACCTTTAAATGATTAGTCAGATGAGAAAGAACAAGAAGTTGGCTAGTTTAGAAAACTTCCAAAGAGACAAAGAAAGATATTCACAGAAGAGGAATGAAAGAGTTAAGAAAAACTTGAATTATAACAGCTTGAAAACTTGAATTCGATGAGATGTAAGTTGGGAAAACATGGTGAAACCTCTAGTTGCCTTGCTTTACAACTTGACATAAAATTTAGGCTCGGTCACTTGTCAAGATCGTAGGTTAGAGATACAAGTTATCATTTAAACCTAGCAGAAGAGGAATTCATTCACATGATTATGTCCTGAAATGCTGACCTTGTTGATCTATAGTAATTCATTGTTCTTGATGGAGTTGTGCTGGAAATAACAATACTAAATGGAAATGATCGGGAGTTTCTTAGATGGTATACGAAGTCCTAAACTAATTCTTGAATATTTTGGGGTGACCATCGGAGAAGAAGCTTGATGGGTTTATTATGAAAAGCCTGGCCTCTTTCCTTGCTAGTCAGGCCACTTTAATTCCTTTTGCCATTCTGCTATTCCTGGAGTGTTATGGACATGCTTATCCAGATTGGATCCTTGTGGTCCATATAAGTATCATGCTTGCTAGTCCCATAATTAGCATTAGTATATAATATCCTTCTGCAATTGTCTGAACTCACATGGACATGTCAGGTAGAACTTTTGATTGCATTGAAACTTGGAAAGCAAGTAACGAATTCTATGTAGGAAGCATAATTGCAGAAACATTTATTTCGATAAGTAGTTCTTGGGAGGAGGATCACAGGCAAACACTTGCAATACTAGTTGTATAAGTAGAAACTAGATATTGGTTAGACTTGTGACCTTGCATTACGGTCCTCTTCTAGTTCTACTTGGGGCTGCTTCAGCTGATTAGTTTCTTCTGCCTCGGAGTTTCTGCCCCAGAGCAGGATATATAAACCAATTACAACTAGGATAGATCCAACGACGCTGTTCATTGCCAATACATAAAGGATGTTAGAAGTTAGCAACAATATAAATATTTTCGAAGCAACAAGAAAGAAGGATTAAAGTAAGCTACCTTCCAAAGTAGATTTGTCCATGTAGAATGGAGAAATCAAACATGGCTACAAATATTTGCACGAGTGGAGTGAATGCAGCTGTGAAGACAGGACCCTTTTGTTTGACACACCAGGACATTCCCACGTAGCACAAGCCAGATGCCACCATTCCCTATTTCGGCAAGATTGAAACGATGGAATTTCGAGGTACTGTGTAACTTGATTTATTCTTGACAGAATAAAAATCAAACTTGGCAAAGAGAATACTTACAGCATAAGTTACTGTTATTAGTTCCAGTTTTCCTTTCAAAATCCATTTGGTAAAGTCCCTCTCTGCTATCAAACTTAAGATGGCTGACTGAATTGCACTGAAGAAAGACCAAAAAGCAGTGCTGGAATATTGGTATGGATATGCCTTGCCAATCCTGGCTTGCAGAAGGAACCATGATGACCAGAAGATGCAGCCTACAGTTAGAACTATTGAACCTATCGCCCATCTCTCTTTCTTCTTAGTTGAAATCATCGTATTGGCATAGTTTATGATATGAGTTGTGGCTCGTGAATTTGATTTGATCAATGTTTTTCCTCGGTAAAGGGTCAGTACCATAGCTCCAGCAATGCAAACCAATGCACCAAAAACCTTTGCCCTCCCGGCCTTGTTTCTGATATCGACTTTCTCTAGACTGAAAATGTGTGATATCAAAGAGTTATGACTCTGATTAAACTCAAGCCAGAGAGATGCACTTGGTGTTTAAGCCTTTACCCAAATGGTAGCGCCAGCATAAACGTGACTGCAGGAACCATATTTACGAATGCGCATGAGAACGTTGCCGTAGTATATTCAAGTCCAAGAAGGAAAAAGTACTGAGTGAGTGTTGCCCTGGAGGACATATTTTAAATGTTCTTAGTAATTATAAAATCAGGAAAAATAAACAACAGAAGCCAAGCTAGTATTTAGGATTTTACAACTAACCCTATAAGAGCAGTGAGGAAAAGCTGGCATAAGATACGAGCTGTGAGCTTGGGTCTACTTTTTCTGCAAGGAAACCAGTCAACTGTAGTAAGTGCATGCCTTGTCAAAAGTGCTATATATTCAGAATTCTCCTATAATTCGATCTGGTGAATGAATTAGCTGAGTGCTAGCAACAAGTAGGTGATAGAACCTCATGGAAATTAGGAGCATTTTTAGTAGTTTTTACCTTTCCCAAAAGTAGGCAATTGGTGCCAAGAAAACAGCAGAAATTGCCTGACGGTATATTAAGATGATAATATGGCTCACTCCTTCATCAAGAATTTTTTTGACAAGGAAATTTGTTACAGCCAGCGCAAAGTTGACAGCTACCATCGCAGAAACATGCTTCCATTGTCCGCAGCACTGCATCGCAAGCAATATGCCTGAAGCAGTTAGCGAAACCAACTCTCTTTCTCTCTCTCTCTGAATGTTGTAAATTCTTGAGCTTCGAAACACAATTAAGCCCTGCCAATGTCTGCTACTATAAATAGGGGCGGCTCCTCCAAATTCGGAATATGAATTGTTTTTATATTTCAATCACGTGCGTGCTTTAAGCAATCTATGTTGGCCACTTTTCTATATTTTTATTCTGTTTCTCCGCTTTCCGCTGTGCCTTTTTGAACAGTAAGAGATCACAGAACCACTGGGGAAAAGTTCGTGCATCATCATTACGAGTTCATAGATTCATCACGATCACTAATCACATCTTGTTTTACAAATTATGACCACAATTAGAGCATAATAGTCTTCGTGGCACAGCAATCTATACGCTTGTGAATTGTATCGTTCAGTAGTCATAAGCATCTGTGGAAGTGGTGTCGACAGACAAGACCGAGCATCCATTTCTTCTGCGTGGCATCCAACTCCGAAGAAAGATTGACTGGGCAATGACAAATGGATTAGAGCTGAAGAACAATATGTCAAGTCTTAAAGAACAAAAAACTAATATTATATTGCCAATATCAAGTAATCGGATGCTTATTTATTCTGTTCTGCTAGAAATATGATGAGAACCCTGTACAAAGATGCTCAAGTATGCGGTCTTAATGCTGTTACTGCCATTTGCCAATACACTATGGGAATAACCTTCTTTATGCCTTTTTTAATATTTTTTTATTTGGGTGTGGGTCATTCTGGATAATTTCTGGTCATGGCCTCAAGCCATTCACCATTCCAGGATTATTCGTTTTCGTATGCAGCTGCAAAGGATGATAAATGTGCGGATTTCAGTGCCCATTGCTTGAAGTTCAACAGCAAATCTGTGTACCTTGTGAGCCACGTTTACTTTCTCTGAGCACCCCCGTAAACATGATGCTCTTTCCCATCCACTATTTTGGTCTTGGGAATAGTTTTCTTTTTCTTCTTTTTTAACTATGTTTGGCGGAGAGATTTGAAATAATAATTGAATAAAGAAACATTTTAAAGGAATCTAATCCAAATAGTATGTTTTAGAACAAAAGGAAGTGGAAGCGGAATCCCAGCAACAGAAAAGCTAAGCAAACTCCATCCACAGTCATGGCTATTTCTTCTTAATGACGAAAGTCTTTAATATTTGCATTGCTTCACTAGACATAAGATCACTTTGGGCTTAAATTATTAATATAAGAGATTGATTTCAAAATATTAAATTCTTTCATCTCATTCTAAGTCAACCCTTAATTAACAAATTAAGGGTTTGTAGATTCTTTATTAGCTTTCCATCACCTTATTTATGCTTCCATACTACATTAGCATAGAACCATATCTAATCTAGCCATTATAGATAGATGCATTTTTTTTAAGAATAAATTATCTTTATTTTCATAAGTTTTGTTTATAATTATATATGCATTTATTAATATTCAAAATAAAAAATTTATCTCAAAACGTGTGAACAACATTAAAATGTGAAACATCTAAAATACTCATCACATAAAATAAATTAACTCAATGTCAATAATTTTTTACGAAATTTTATCAAATACTTTCAAACCTCACAACTCAAGAATGTTAAGTAATCACGATAAGTTTTGAAATTCAAAACTTGGATCAAATATGGATTTATGGTTTATAAACCCATAAATAAATAAGAAAAATAATTCAACAAGTTTTCTCTTCCTACCTTTTGATTTCACTTTGAATCACCCATTAAAAATCAAACATAAATTTATAATTTATTTTCATAAGTCAATTCTGAGTTGGAAGGCCAAAAATTAATAATAAATCCTGAATATTTCAATAATGAAATCTAATTTTAAGAGAGTTCTAGTTTTTTATTTGTTTAGAGATAAAGGAAAAGCAAAATTATCTTGAAAATTTTACGACATTAAAGTAATAAAAACACTAATGGTTGACTCAGGACTTGTTAATGAAAATGTTTTTCTAGAATGAAATATTTATTTTGAATATTAATATTAATGGATGAGCTTGAAAATATGGATAAAAATATTTTACCGTGTTTTTGATAAAAAGAGAAATGACTAGCATTATCAACTGCAAAGTAGCACAAAGTAGTGCAAACTGCTAAAATATGGGCCTCAATAAAAGAGCAAGACCGATCTCTCCGGGGAACCCTTAACAAAACCTTGTCTCAGACATATCTGTGACTGCACTTCTTTACTTGGGCTGATACAGCAATTCGGCTCTCTCTCTCTCTCTCTCTCTCTCTTTCTCTCTCCGCAATGCCATGCGCCATGGAAGAACTGGCATATCGTCAGTCTCCTCTCCTCTGCTCAGAAACCCATCAATCCACTTGGGTAACATCCTACTTATCGCCTCTCTCACCAAAACCCTCTCAGAATCCGGAACTAGAAACCTCGACCCCAACTCCATCCCCATATCCGAGCCTCTGGTCACCCAAATCCTCCGCAAACATTCCCTCGAACCCTCAAAGAAGCTCGACTTCTTTAATTGGTGTCGCTCTGTTAAACCAAACTTTAAACACTCGGCAGTCACTTACTCGCACATTTTCCGGACCCTTTGTCGATCTGGGTTCGTTGAGGAGGTCCCTAATTTGCTGTTTGCAATGAAGGAAGATGGTGTTCTTGTTGATTCTGATACTTTTAAGTTCCTGCTCGATGCTTTTATTCGGTCCGGTAAGTTTGATTCTGCCCTTCAAATTCTTGATTATATGGAAGAATTGGGTGCTGGCTTGAATCTTAGTGTCTATGATTCGGTTCTCGTGGCTTTAATTAGAAAAGACCAAGTGGGTTTAGCTTTATCTTTATTTTTTAAGCTTTTAGAAGCTTGTAATGGCAATGGTGATGGGAATTCTGTTGATAGTTCACTTCCAGGTTCCATTGCAATTAATGAGTTGTTAGTTGCTCTTAGAAAAGCTGATATGAGAAGAGAATTCAAACAAGTTTTTGATATATTGAGGGAAAAAAGGGAGTTTGAATTTGATACATGTGGTTATAATATATGCATTCATTCTTTTGGGTGTTGGGGTGATTTGGGTGCTTCTTTGAGGCTCTTTAAAGAGATGAAGGAAAAGGAAAAGAGTTCTGGGTCCTTTGGTCCAGATTTGTGTACCTATAACAGTCTCATCCAAGTGCTTTGCTTGGTTGGGAAGGTTAAAGATGCTTTAGTTGTGTGGGAGGAATTAAAAGTGTCTGGTCATGAGCCAGATGCGTTTACTTACAGAATTCTTATTCAAGGGTGCTCGAAATCGTACAGAATGGATGATGCAACGAAGATATTTAATGAAATGCAGTATAATGGGTTTGCTCTGGATACAGTTGTGTATAATTCTCTTCTAAATGGATTGTTCAAGGCCAGGAAGGTGATGGAAGCATGTCAGTTTTTCGAGAAAATGGTTCAGGATGGTGTAAGGGCCTCATGTTGGACTTACAATATTCTGATTGATGGGTTGTTTAGGAATGGCAGGGCTGAAGCTGCTTACACTCTGTTTTGTGATTTAAAGAAGAAAGGGCAGTTTGTGGATGGTATCACTTACAGCATTGTTATGTTGCAACTTTGTAGAGAAGGTCAGCTTGGGGAAGCACTACAGTTGGTGGAAGAGATGGAAGCCAGAGGTTTTATTGTTGATTTAGTTACTATAACATCACTCTTGATAGGATTTCATAAACAAGGTTGGTGGGATTGGACAGAGAGGCTAATGAAGCATATTCGTGATGGTAATCTAGTGCCAAATGTTCTCAAGTGGAAAGCCAATATGGAGGCTTCAATGAAAACTCCACCTAAAAACAGAAAGGATTATACTCCTCTATTCCCGTCCAAAGGAGATTTTAGGGAGATCATGAATTTACTTGGTTCTGCTGGCCAAGCAATGGGCACTAAACTTGTTTCAGAAGATTGTGATGAAAAGGATCAGGAGAAGTCATCCATTGACACTGATCAGTGGTCATCATCCCCATATATGGATCAATTAGCCAATCAACTAAAGTCAACTGAACGTTCTTCTCAGTTGTTTTCACTGATTAGGGGCCAAAGAGTTCAAGAAAAGGGGATAGGTTCTTTTGATGTTGATATGGTGAATACTTTCTTATCCATCTTTTTAGCCAAGGGAAAACTGAGCTTAGCCTGCAAGTTGTTTGAAATATTCACTGATATGGGCGTTGATCCTGTTAGTTACACATACAACTCTATTATGAGCTCGTTTGTCAAGAAGGGCTATTTCAATGAGGCATGGGCTGTCCTGAACCAAATGGATGAGAGGGTCTGCCCTGCGGACATAGCAACCTATAATCTGATAATTCAAGGCCTGGGGAAGATGGGAAGAGCAGATATTGCAAGCTCAGTTCTGGATAAATTAATGAAGCAGGGCGGTTATCTTGATGTAGTTATGTATAACACCCTGATCAATGCACTGGGAAAGGCTGGTCGCGTTGATGAAGCAAGCAAACTTTTTGAACAGATGAGGACTAGTGGGATAAACCCTGATGTTATCACATACAACACACTTATCGAAGTCCATACCAAGGCAGGTCAATTACAGGATGCATACAAATTTCTAAAAACGATGCTGGATGCGGGCTGTTCTCCAAACCATGTTACAGATACCATTTTGGATAATCTCGGAAAGGAAATCGAGAAAATGAGGCTGCAAAAGGCATCAATGGTGCGCACTGATAATGGGGATGGAACTTGAAGAAGAGTCTTTGAGTGGAAATCAAGAAACAATCGACAACCGCTGAATTGGTGGCCACAAGTAGTCACCATGAAGCTGGGCTGTTATCAGAACTGGTAGTAATTTATCAGAGTTTAGATTCATTTTAGTTGCATTGCACTAATCCAAATGCAGAATTTATTTTTTATTAGATGAATTACAATTCCGAGTTTGGATTTTTTTTTTTTGTCTCTTATGAAGTTTTCCATATGAATCATATTCAAAACCAAACAGGCAAGACAACGAAGTTTATTAGGGAAAACAGGGAATCAAATAGGTATATTAATCCAAAGAATTACATTTACAACACGTATAAGAAATAGTACATAAAAAAAATGCAGATCCCATCGGAGAAAAACACAAAACTCTCTGCCTTCAACAATCAGAAAAGACCACACAATACAGAAAATCCAAGCAAGATGAGCCAAACAATATGAACCAAAAGAAGTGCTTGACCAGGAAATGAAGTACTACCTCCGTTCCCAACATCACAAAACCCTAATTTGGCCACGCGGGTACCAGCGCATAATGCATCGGCGCAACCGCACCAGTACGTGACGCCATCAACGCCGCAAACGGGCTCCGTTCGGAAGCAGTTGACCGGGCACGATGCCGGCTTCGTGAATCGTGCGCAGACGCCTTCATTCTCATAGGAGTTGGTAAATCCGTCGGAAGGTAACCGGATAGATCCCAAATTATCTTGCAGCGATTGCGCGATCGGTGCACAGAAACAGAAGAGTAGGAGGACGACCGTTAAGATGTGGAGCGGAGTTGCCGTGAAGCACGGCATTTGGGCTCCAATTGAAAGGATTTTCTGCAACAAATTTTCGAACCCGAACCCTAAACCTAAACCCCAATTTGGGTAAAAATTATAATAATATGGATGAAATGGAAAAGGTCCAAGACTCCAATATTTTCCACACCTGGCAAATACCGCTCACCAAAGGGTTAAGACGGAGTCTTCTCCAAGACTCCAGTACTTTCCACACCTGGCAAATACCGTTCACCGAATCCTAACGTCCACCTGATTCTTTCCTATTTCTCTTCTTTTTCCCCCCCTTTTTTCCTGTTAAAATCGTTGTAATACTTTCTTTTGTTTTCCCAGATTTAATTTTCTTTTCTCAAGTTTAAGCTTCCCCAAGCCCAAACCCATTATAACTGGGCTTAAATCTATTTTTACCCATTTACATAAAGCATATTTATGTAAGGGGTAATTAATTAATTGAAAATAATATTTATTGTATACACAGTGTAATCAATAATTTTTATGAAATACCAATAAAATTCAGTATTGAAATTATTTGATAATTTAACAATCTATATCGATCTAATAATTTTTTTAAAAGCTTTACTTTGGTCCTTGGTAATAGAATGTTTTACAAAAGTGACTTTTACTTTAATTAAGATTAAAAAAAAAACAGGAATTTTATTACTGAAAGGTCTTTACAAAGAGCAATGTCCTAGACTTGAAAAAAAAACAAAACAAAATCCCATAAGAGGGACCTCATGAACAACAGAGACAAAGGTCACACCATATTCCTAGCTTTCTACGTACAAGAATCACATCCCATTACAGCCTTGTCACTGACAGCGAGGAAACTTATGAGCATGCGCAAACATAGCTCACATAGCTTGATGAGGTATGAGATTTTAAGTAAAATGTTGACATAATGTTTAAATAAGTCTTTAAATTATTTAAAAAAATTTAAATAAGGGATTATTTTTTATTACATTCAATTAAATTTTTATATTTTTATTTGAAGTTAAATAAATTTTTATAATTAATGATTAAGTAATTATCATTAATCAAAATACTATTTATTATTTTATAATGTTAAATTAACATAACACGACATCATCAATTAAAATATATCTAATATATCACCTCATCATTAATTATAATATATTAGCATTTCATATCAGTATCGTATGATATAGAATGACAAATAATATTTTGATTTAATTAATTAGTAGTGATAGGTTTATTTGATTCAAAATAAAAATATAAAGATTTATTCGACTTAAAACAAAGTATAAAAGTTTGATTGAATATAATAAAAATATAAAATTTTATTTAAATTTTTTTAAATAAACCTATCACTACTAATTAATTGTGTGTGACACCAATTGTACAGTAATTGTGTGTGACACCAATAAAATTTAAGAACTTTTTTAGATATTATACTTCAAATGTTTAACAAAAAATGACACCAATTGTGTGTGACAAATTCTACAGTAAAACTAACCTTAATGTAAGATTACGAATAAGATTCATTAGATTTAAAGGGTTTATTTACAGCCATTGATCAATAAAAAAAATAGCAACTTTTACATATCAAACAGGTTAAAAAAAAACTTAAATAATCCAAAATAAATAAATATAAAAATAATAATTAAAAGGAAAGAACTAATAAAAATATTAATTAAAGGAAAAAAAACTAACAAAGAGAATAATGAAATTTTTATAAAAATTAATCATTTACATTTATATTCTTGAGTAAAAAAAACTAATCATTAAAATTTTTAAATAAATATTAATATAAAAATTTAATTTAATAAATAATTATTTTATTATTATTTATTTATAAATTAAAATTTATAAACTGTTAAATACTTTTAGCTAGATAATTAAAATTGAAATATGTAATTTTCACAAAAATTAAATTTATTTTGATTTAGTTAACTTATTATGTTAAATCTCATATATTTGTCTCAATATTTTAACATTCTTAAGTAAAAAATATTAATCATTGAGAAATTTTTAAATAAATATTATAATAAAAATTTAGCTTGATAAATAATGATTTTAACTATAAATATATTTATCTTTATTATTATTCATTTATAAATTAAAATTTATAAATCCTTAAATACTTGTTAACTTGATAATAAAAATTTCAAAGTTTAATTTTTTAAAAATTATATTTATTTTAACTTAATTGACTTATTACATTAAATCTAACATAGTTATGTCAATATTTTGACAATATATATTTCACCTTTATAATTTTTATGTTAATTCTTATAACTTTATATCAAGGTTTTTTAACTACTAATTTTCATTATAATTATTTTTATCTTTACTACTATTCATTTATATATTAAAATTTATAAACCGTTAAATACTTTAAATTCTAGAATAAAAATTTAAATGTTTAATTTTTTAAAAAATTATGTTTATTTGATATAATTAACTTGTTACGTTAAATCTTATATATTTACGTCAATGTTTCAACAATCCTTGTTTCACATTTATAATTTTTTACATTAATTCTTATGATTTTATGTCAAAGTTTATCAATTACTAATTTTCATTATAATTAATTTTATCCTTACCATCATTCATTCATATATTAAAATTTGTAACCTATTAAATAAATTCAACTCAAGAATAAAAATTTAAATGCTTAATTTTTATAAAAATTATATTCAACTCAAGTTTAAAATTACATTTACTTTACTTTTATAATTTCTTACATTAATTCTTACTGTTTTATGTTAAAGTTTTTCAACTACTAATTTTCACTATAATTATTTTTATACTTACTATTATTCATTCATAAATTAAAATTTGTAAGTCATAAAATATTTTAAACTCGAAAATAAAAATTTAAATATTTAATTTTTCAAAAAATTATGTTTATTTGATATAATTGATTTATTATGTTATGTCAATATTTTGGCAATTCTTATTCTACATTTATAATTTTTCATATTAATTCTTATTATTTTACGTTAAGATTTTTCAACTACTAATTTTCATTATATTTTGTGATTTGTAGCAAACAGGAGTTTAACCAGTTATTATGAAACCATTTATGTTGTATAAAAAAAGAAAAAGGAAAACCTTCAGCCATAGCTGCCTGTACCATGTTTTAGGGCAGAAATTGAAGCGTTGTTAGTTTGCCATGCGTGTGAGATTGGTTTAACATAGATAAATATCACATGCACCCAAT